TAGATAGAATATTATTTCCTAATATAAATATATATACAATATCATCATTACATATATCACATGTATGGTTAATAACAACATGTGAAAAACAAACATTTTTTTTTTATTGATAATAAACGTGAATATAATCAACGTGAACAACAACAAATATGGTTTCAAATTGATTGTGATTATAGAATTAAAAATGCTATTGAATTTTGATATAAATGAAAGAAAAATTATTATAAGAACAATACGACCAAGTCAAATAAGACTTTATCATTTTTGATAATATTTGTTTTTGTTTTTGTATATTTGTATTAGTATTAGATAAAAAGTTAAACGTTGTTTTTTTTTTAAATATAAAAGTTTTTGAAAGATATTGAAGATGTTCTTTTTTCTTTTTTTGTAAATAGAGAATAATGTGAAATCTAACAATTTCTGTTCAAATTTAAAATTTGAACTGAAAATAATTTCCATTATGTTTACATTCATGAATAAAAATCTTTCTTCTTTCCTTTTTGTGTTATATATTAGATTACACATTCATCTAGTCTCAAGAGAATATTTCAAATATAATATATGATTGATCAAGATTTTATTCCGTGAAAATAATACATCTTTCAATACTACAAATGAATCCCTTGGTATTGACTGGTTTAGATCTGAAGACTGGATAGAAAAACACAGAAATGCAAAAATGTCGAGTGTGATTAATAGAATAGAAAAAGACTGAAAGGTTGTGGATATGGAATTGAAAGAAGACTCACATACTCATATCCTTATTTACATTAGAAATGATTTTAAAGTATTTGATTAATCTTTCATTTAGAGTTATGTATAGAGTCCTGCGAGATCGTCTCAGATCCTGAAAAAAGAACGTTTGTCTTGTCCTATGAGCTAATCGAGAGTGTCCCGAAATTTATCTTTCTACGTCCTTATATCAGAACGCTTGGTAAAAAAAAAGAGGTATTTTTTTTTCGATAGAACAGTATCTTGATATTTCTTTCAGTTAACAGGACAAACGTGATTCAGGACATGAGAAAATTTCTGTTGCAGGACTCTAATTGTGTATATAGGCAAGTAGTAAAAAAAAAATGAACATTTCGATCAGACTGAGTCTTGAAGGGATCATATCTCAAGAACGACTCGATCGAGTGAGCTGATATTTTTTTCTGATTCATTCGAGATAGGCAAAAGTCTACAGTTTAGACCATTTTGGTGCTTTATAACTCGTAATTGAGATAAGATAACCATCTAGAAACGACTTGCATCAAAGATCATCTTCGAGAGCCTTAAACTGGATATATAGTTTTTATCATAATTCTATCATTCGTTTTATGACATATTTTCAATTAAGTAGGTCTAAATCAAATAGCTACAGATTATTGTTCGAGTAATTTTTGAAAAACTCTTCAAAATCAAATGTAATTTTGCTTGCTTTATAAACTCGATTAATATTATCAATTGAATTACATGCCTTGAGTTGACAATTGATTTTAGCAATATTCTGTGATTGTGTTCGACTATCTAGTAAAAACATAATTTGACGTGATATTGAATTAGCATCTTCAGAATAATAAGGACATGTTGCACAGATTTGTTGACTCGATGGAGGCTCTTTATCAACAGAAATATGACACCGTTGACAAGTGCCAAGATCTGTTGAAGGACAATCAATTGTAGAATTATTAAAATCATAACATGCAGTAGAATGTGCATCAAATGGAGAAATAATTTCAAGTAATGGAGTTAATTCTTGAGCAAATTTATCTTCAATAATCAGTGAACGAAGAATTTGTTTTAAACTCATTTCATCATTACATTTATTCTATAGACAAATATAACCAAATGAATGATTCACTTGTGGAAATTCATGTTGATGTACAACTGTCATATCAGCTGAAGCCATGATGATATGTTCCAAAGTATAGTTGACAAACATAGTATTTATACTATCTACTAAGATACTAGAAGTGTGATTATTTTGATTCCAAACAACAGTAATCCAACATATTCCACCATTGATCAATTGACATTTAGAAAACGATGGAACTGTATCACTTGTTACAGTATAATTAAGTGTGAAACCACCCTCATAGACGTAACACTGTAATGATAAAATTAATGTTGGTGATTTCATCAATAAAATAAGTAGAACCACTGTATACAACATGATTGTGTAGTCTTTATAGAAGAAAACTATGAAATTGAATGTATGATGTCTTTACCTTTTATACACGTATCTAAGATAAGTGCTACGCAAAATGACAGAGAACATGCTTGTTTGTCAGTGTTTCTTTTGCAGTGTGAATCGTGTGTTAAGAACAAACAAATAATTTGACGAGTAATTTACAATTGGTATGCGAATTCATAGGTTGAAACAGTTTATTGTCACTATCAATTGAACTATTCTTTTTAGTTTTCAAAAAGTAAAAATAAAAACTCATCTAACTAAAAGTATTTACATCGAATAACGAATAATAGAGAACACACAACATAAGATAAGATTTAATACAATGATATCTAAAATATTGGAAGATCATTTTTTCTTTGCTAAATACTTGCATTAAATAAATTCATGCGTCTGAAGTTGTGGTATAGATATTATATTAATATGTTTCTGTGTATTGAGGCCTAACTTCCATTTTATACTTTCTTTATACAATAGAATATGATATCCACAAAAAATTGTAGCCATGTTCTTCAATGAATATAAAAATGTACTTTAAAAAAAATTAATGGATACAATATTTAAATGGCCTTAGCCAATCTTTTGAAAAGAAGACGACGTTCGATTTCGAACAATTAAATAAAACAAAGCAAAAAATAATAAAAACCAGAAATTCATACATTACTCTTCAATCTATATATATAATGTTCAGTGTCTGTCTGTGTGTTTCTCTGTGCCGGGTCAAAGGTTAAAGGTCAAATAAGACTACAAGGGGAGGTTTAAGGGCTGTTATATGGGAGTATCCATAGTTTCTCAAGGGCTATCCTATAGAGCTTCCCATAGGCCCTTATGAAGTATTATATGGGAACACTCATAGGCCCCCAAGAGCTATTATATGAGGGTGCCCATGGATCCTCAAAGACCGTCCTATAGGGTACCCATAGGCCTTGAAGGGTGTAGGTCAATAAAGTGGTAAGGCTACAAGGGATAGAAGGCTATAAGGACATAAGGCTACATGGACTATAAAAATATGTGTGACATAAGAGTACGAGGCCGTAAGGCTTCGATCCATATACATAATATCGAGTATCTGTATGTCTGTTATTGGATGAAAAGTTAAACGTCTGAAGTCATACGTTAAAGGAGAAATCAGTCGTGCAGTATGCACGGATTCTCGCTAGTATACTATATGATCGACTATAAGAAAGTATCAAGTGATACAAGATATGTATAATTTTGATCAAGTCAATATGAACAGAGTGAAAATTCTTGTCAACTATACATATCATCGAACAAAAAAAAATCGTTCAATATGTTGCACTGTTTGTGTTTAGTTTTTAGTAATGTAACAAACGAATCGCAAAGCATGCAACATGTATATTAGAAACATAGAAAAGAAACAAAGAAGGACATCTTTGATTTATCATTTCGGTTGGAAACAAGAAAGAAATGCTTACACTTATGATCCATGTATAATGATAAAAAAAACGAAATTAACTTTTATCTATTTATTTATTCATGAGTACACATTAATAAAAGGGTGTGGATGTGAGTGAAGAAGAAGCACATTTCCACATTCGCACCCATACCCCGACATAATAGCTACATGAATGAGAAATATTTACCATTTAAGTTTATACAAACAAGACAATTTACTTTGAAAAATAGAGCAATAAATTTCTATAACAACAAGTTTTCTATAAAGATAGAATTTAAAATTATTTTTGAGTACCTCAAAAGTGGAGTACATAAAATCGCTCCAATTTCATTCATCGATGATGTCATTAATCTATAAGAAAAAACTCCTTCATAGAAACAACTTGAAACTAATTTCATTCATAAATTATGGTAAGTTTTTAGTTTTGTTCACTGAGATTGGTTCAGTTCGTAGAAAATACGAACTGAATTCATTTCTGGCATATATTGTTATCATAGTTAAAACATTGCTGAATGAAAAAATAAAAACATCAAACCCGAAATCCTTCTCTTACAATCAGTGTGAATAGGACAATATAAAACCTAATCTTTTCATATGAATAGTTATTATAAGTAGATGTTTCCATTTGATTTTATTGATATATATATGAAACAAGTCTATTATTTACAATTATCGTGATATAACAAAGGAAAATAAAGATCAAAGCTTTCTGAACGAACTATTCCACGTTTATGATAAAAATCAATATGTTTCAATTTTGCACAATTCATACGTGTTGTATTTCTTGTAAAATTCTCTGTAACAGTTACTAAATGTTCATATTCAACATGAAGTTTGCTAAGACAAGGTAAACGTGTATTCAAATTGCAAAGAAATTCTTCCACATAGTCAATATGTGTACCACCACAGCTAAAGTTAAGTTCGACGAGATGCAAATATTCAATAATCGAGGATGTTTCTTCAGATTTGACTAGCTGTTGTGACCGATTTTCATTTTGTGGTGTTAGATTGTTGACTGCCAGATTTCTGAGTAATGGAAATGAACAAGAAATTCGAGCAAAAAGATCGTGTTCGAAAGGATGAGAATGGTCGAACATATGCAGTACGCGAACATTCATGAACATACCACCAGGAAAACTATGCGTAATATCATGTATATGTTTCATATTGAATGGAAGCGAATAAACGTGACATCGATCTAAGGTAATATCATCATAGTCGACGTAACAATCAACATGATAGCCTTTTTCGATGAACGTGCCTTGAATATCATCAGACGATGGTTTAAATTGTTGATTATTCCTGACAATATCTGTAACAATGTCGAAGGTAAATGTCTGTAGATGTGGCATTTGACTGAGTACATAGTTATGGAGATAAGTACCATCAATGAATGAATTTCGTTCACCAACACGAATAGATAATGTTAACTTTTCTAAATTTGACATTCGACGAAGAAGGGGCACAACATGACTGTCGAATTCATTTGTTGAAAAATATACACATAACGAAAAACAGGTGAGTTTAAATAGAGTATTCTATAAAAACAAAAAACAAAATATAATAAACATTGACCAATGATACCATATTAAATTCTTCGTCCAATGATAGATTTCACTTAGTTCTATTTAACACGATTATGAAACCATGATCGTATATATAAGTATGGACTAATAATTTTTTCCTGAATTAGTTACTTTCCAATTCTCAAATAAAACAATACTGATTTAGAAATATTCTCATATTTTCCTTCTCATTAAATACCAACGAGTTCGAATTTTTTACTTAAACATAGTTTAAGAAAAGCTAAAATATTTTTATATTCATCTCTATTATATTGTAGAATTCTCATATATATTTTCGAAAAAAAAATTGTTCATATAAGTTGTAAGTCGAAATTTTATCGGTTCACCCTTCTCATTACTGACTTAAGGGAATTTCCCTCCCTTCCCACCTCAGAAGGTCGATTTTTTTTTTAAACAATATCGAAATTGAGTTTTTACCACAGGAAGATAGAGCGAAACTTCCTCCTTCAGAACATATATAGATTTTTGGAAAATGATTAGTTTTTCAAAGACTTGTCAGATCAGACTTTAACTTCTCTACCATATTTTCCGAGAAATTTTCTTGGCTTTTTAAAGTTTTTCAGTTTTGGAAAAACTCCGTTACTACTTCAATTATCATAGAATAGAACATTTTGATATTAACCCGCATGTCAAATGGAATTACTTTTACTGCATCTTTTACGGGCCTTAAAATAGTTTTAGAAAATTTATTGAAAATATGCCATTTTAATATGAGTTTTTTGAATTTGACCGAAAAAGATCACTTCTAAAACTTCTTTAAGGTTTTCCTCAGAACATGATTTTCAATCAGAAAAATTGGAACTCCTCCCTCATTTTTCGAGCTATTACCAATATTTTTTTTTGCTTTAAAGGTCTTGAACAGAGTAAACTTTTTTCCGAACGGATTTTTGAAAGTTGGTTCCTGGGCTAAGAAAAGTGGAATGTTACTGTCGTTGGACTAACATTTTTTATGCTAATTTTGAGATCCTCGCACTAAAATGCTCATAAAAAATAAATAGGACGAAATATCAAAATTCTGTTCAGATAAAAGTTGCGTACTGACATGTGTTTTAGTTTGAAACCAGCCTGGGCTCTCTACCTCTTCTTATGACGCAATTATATCAATTCTCCTGAAGACCAAAAATGACCCATGAATTAGCTGGAAATCCTGTCTAGTATGACCAATCGAGCTGAAATTTTTACCAGAAGCGTATCTCTCCAAGTTCAGTCATCCCTGAAAATTTCAGCATGAAAAGACTGTCAAAAGTGGAAAATCGTTTCTGAGGGGGGGGGGGGACCTTAAATTATTCACGAGCTAGTTTTTCCATATTTTGAGAATTGTTTCTAAACATTATTAATTCCATAGTTTTCTAGTAAACACTGAAATAAAAATACATGTTTATTTACCAAATTATTTATCTTCTTTAATGAATGACGATTGGTGCCATGCCACGTATCATATATGAAATCAAGAGTGATAATAAATGTATGTAATTGACTAAGACGACCATTAAGTAGACGAAGACAATCATCAAAATTGTGCATTTTAATCCGTAAATGAACAATATTCGACGAAAAACATGTAGTAGAACGTAAATTCCACAACAGTGATCGTCGAAAATGATAGATATCATCTGCATCCAAATCCAAATCCAAACACTTCAGATTTGTTAATAAGGCAAAAATTTTAGAATAAATATCAATTATTAAATTCTCCATTGATTTATCTCGAATTGTGTCACTAATCGTTACGACCAAATCTGAAATTTGGTGTTTGAAAGTATGAATAAATGAAGAATTTTCTAAAAAAAAAATACAAAGATCTATTCTATTTGTTGAACATTCAGAATCAATTAACACACCATTGAAGACATGAGACGCCATCTTGAATTCGAGATTGATGAGAATGAGCTTGCGTAAGTTATGATAATTGCCAGCAAGAAGAACATGTTGCAAGAAACATCCTTGAATAGTAAGACATTCCACCTTCTCATGAATTCGAGGTAGTATGTGCATAAAAACTCGATCAAATATTACATTAGTTTTCCAATCATTTTCTCTATTTGATGGTAACATCATTAGATCGACATTTCGAGTGAAGTTGATATCACATGCCACATTATCGAGTTTTTTGTTAACACCCACAAGTGAATATAGAACATCAAAATTATTAAGATTCTTCAAAATAGTAAGCAAAATTTCATCAGATAGGTCAAGAATACCAACAGTTGAATTATTCATTCTTATTATGGCTTGTAACTCTTTAAACAGCTATATATATATATATATGGCTATGTTTCGATAAAGTTCATTGTCTATGTCTCTTGCCGTCCGTGATGACAATGGTAAACTATTACATTGTCAATATTGTAACATTGAATTCTAATAAAGCTGATTCATGAATAGATGAATTAATATTGTCCGTCCATACATATAGAATTAGTCGAAGTCAATACGAAGAAAAAAAAAAAGATCAGCTCTTGAATGGCATTGATTGACCGAAAAAAAATGACGAATCCGACAGAATTTCCACCATATGAAAACTTGGAAAAAAAGTTTATTTCGGGATCATCGATAAGTAAAAGAAGATATTTCATAGCATGCTAAAAAGTGAAAGATGTATAAGTATACACCAATAAGAAATAATAATGTTTGAGTCTGAGTATGATTGAAGAAAAGATTCATACCCTCCAATAAATAACAAATTGAAATTTCTAAATTGTGGAAGAACTCTTAGCGGAGCGATGATAATCTCTTGGAGAAATGAAAATTGATTATTAGTTTCGTCATTCAGAAAAGCCAAAAGTAATATTTTTTTTTTCTACAATAGTTTTCATACCTATACATTCAAATGCATAGATTTCTTGATGAATATCAATGTGTGAGCAAACACTATTGTGGATATTGAATGTTTTTAATTTTAGCAATGATAAAATCATAGAAGACTTAATAAGAGATTCCTATTTTTCAATTCTTGGACATTCGTCTATCTCGTTTTATCATTCAAGTTCTAAATGAAAGACATCTGAGAATAGTGTCGTATGTATTATTGGCGCATTATAACAAACAATGATTAAAAATTCTTTTGTATTTTTGATAAAATGCACATAAATTAAGAGAACTACTATACTTTAATTTTTGTTGCAGATGAATATTAGATTTGAAATATAAAACGTTCTAATAAAATTGCTGAAGATATATCACTTAACGACAAAGTAAACAGGGGATCTGTTTGAAATTCGTTTTCCCTTGAAATTTTTATGAAAATATTTATCGTTAACTTACTATATGTCAATTTAAAAAATAAATTTTGACAGAATTAATGAATGTTATGTAAGAATTGAAAATAGATCATGTTATATATGCATTATCTTAAGTTATAGTCTTTTCTAATTATTATTAATTACTTACTTCTATCGAATTACAAGATCTAAGATTATTTATGGCTCATGAAAATAAGGTTTTCTAATAGTTTAAACATTAATCTTTGATCAATTACATTTTTAACAGATCAAATTGAGGTTACTTTGTGTATTCGTTGTTTTTTATTATCATAATCATATTATAGAAAAATAAGCTTTTAGTAAAGCTTATATATATTTCCAACTACTTGTTTAGAATTAAGTGAGTTCGAACATCATTAAACAATGACAAGACAAGCAGTAAAGTGTATAAATCCTTTATTCATTCGTCTAGTCATTCGAAACTTAATTTTTCCTCAAGGAAGTTTTCTAAGTCTGCTTTACTACGACAATATTACTTTTTTGCCACCGAAAATAATAAAAAAATTTTGACGTTTTTACAAGGATTTCGATGCATTGCATAAGTCTATCAATCTAAAGGAATGAGAAACACATGTTTGGGTCTACGATATCTAAATATACAGTAGACTTCAGCCTATCTAAGTTTCATAGCTTCACTGCATAAGAAAAGCTTGCGCTGTGTACATTAAGCTAAGAAAATCGAATTTAAACTAATCATCTTAATGTTTTCTTTTTATGGTTCATTTCATTGACATTATTCTCTGAGATTTTGATTCATCTTGAACAAATGATTAATACAGTTAACTAATACGAATAACATTTTTCTATTAAATAGCAAGTGCAAAAACGATTTTCAAACTTGTAGTTTAACTTTTTTTTTTTTTTTATTTAAAAAATAAAATATTCTTGATTAAAACAAATTTAATTACAAAACAGCGTGGAGGAGACAAGTCCGAATAAGGCTTCAGCAAGTCAGTTCTTATAATTTTAAACATTTAAATTAACTCAATACCGGTAGATTTTTAAGATTTTCATGAACCTGAAGAATCTCTTAGTCCACATCATTAGATGAAGAATTTTGAATTGACCAATTTCGTCTATCATCAACCGTTGTCGATGAATTGAAAAACAAAATATAAGACATCTTAATTAAATAATAATCTTTATAATCATATCTTACTCATCATCATTATAAAATAAATCTCTAGGATCTAATGCAGCTAAATCAGCTTGATATACTACCGATCGAATAGCTTCAGTAGTTAATGCTCGACGATCCATAAAAAATAAATGAAATATTAATAATTGTAATTGATTAGTTGTAAAAGCAATTTTCATCTAAAATAACATGATAATGTGGTGATCGATTAATACCTTGATAAGTAGTATGTGAATTTAAATAAAAATTATTTTGATTCAGTTGAACAATTGTTGTATCAATGAAAGTACGAATTGACATATTATCAGTTTCTTTCGGAATTTTTAGTTTTGAAAAATTTCTATCATTTTTTTGTGCAGAATTTGGATTTTAAGTGAAAAAACGTGCATGATAACGTATTTTGACAACAATAAAAGTAAGATATGAATGATTCTTTGGATTACCATAGATATCTAATACAAAGAATATTTTTATACTTAATATGAAAAAAGAAAATATGAATAAACTTTACTATCAAAAGCTTGACGAATTGTTGGTATTTCAAAGTTATGATTTTTTTGAAATTGTCCATCATCAACTCCTAAATAATTTATTGCCTAGAAATTCATCAAAGAAAAACAAAACAAACTAATATTTACCATCTCTGTAAAAGACTATTTTATTTGAAAAGTATCCATTGACTTGTCGATAATAATCTAATAATTGTTTTACCATTTCTGTCATGCTAAGAATTGTTTCAATCGAGCATTTTCCTTGTTTTTGGATATTGTTTACAAACACGTACAGTTGTTCTTGAACATGAATGTATCACCCAAACTAACAACAGCTAAAATAAATTTTCATTTGTTTTTTAACACAAATGAAATGATAGAAATTTTCTACCTGCAATGGATGGATGTTTACAAGTAACATTACTTGAATGAATAACATCTGCTTCAAAAAACATAAAAAGAAATCGTTCTTCGATTGTTTATTTTTCAATGCTATATACAAATTAACTTTGGTATTAATACCACCATTTTTACAATTAATTTTTTACAATAATTTCCAAGTTGTTTTTCATTGTTTGGAATTTCCGATACTATAGGATATTGTATTATTATACCTAAAAAATATTGAAAATAATATTTAAAGATTATTTCACATAAGATTAAGATAATTTACCATATATAAGTGTGCCACATGTTCTTATATTAACTTTAAGTTGTGTAAGATCATCTTGATTCCTAATATTCATAATACAAACTGTAAAACTATAATTTTGTTCTTTCATTGAATAAAAATGTTTATCATTCTTTACAATATCATTATTTATGGAATCTTCAGTAAATTCTACATGTTGTACATTGATATTTAAATCATTCATAATCTATAAGAAAATTAAATATTCACAGTTTTTATCTCTTATTCGTTCAAATAAAGAAAACTTACGTCGAGTAAAGTATTACAAAATTTTTTTGTTAAATTTTTTTTGTCGTTCATAATCTGTACCGAAATAGATAATTGTTAATTTTGAAATTGGTTTAGGTTGAAATAGAAATCTATTCAGGTGAATACGTCCATTATTAATGCGAACTGGATAATTGTAACCTGATAAAATTTGTGATTGAGTTAAAATTTGAGCATTCAATTCCGACATTTCGTCATTATTTATTGTAAAACCAACAATACGACAAAGTAAATTTGAAGTTGATTTATAATCACATTTATTAGTGCGCGACAAAAGTTTCGCCCGCATTGAAATGATTTTTTAAATATTATTTTGACGTGTGAGAACAGAATGCAACACATATATATATATACAGAGAAGTTCGAGACATTTATACAGCACGTAGTGGTTTTCTTCTTCTTCTTCTTTGAGGAGCAAAGCAAAAATATGTGAATACATTCATTTTTGTATGGCTTGTTGAGTGATGAGATGGGTTGTATGAAATGAGATCGGAATTTCGAGCTGACGGATTTCTAGCGAACAAATCACAATTCGAAATTTCGTGCTCACTTTTTTTGGTATCGCTCGTTGACAGAGCATAGCCGAAACTCTTTCCTTTGAATGAGGGTTATTCCGAATTCGCTTATTAGCCTCCAGCCAATAAGAATAGGGATGAACATATATCATGTGTTGCTAAGAGCGGCTTGTCTTCTTTGAATTTTTTTTCTTTTCACTATCTGTTCGTTCTTCTTTCATATGAAAGA